AGTGGTAGTGAGATCAGTCAAATCTCCCGAACTTCTATAGATATTCATTACTGAAAATAACAGATTAAATACAAAGTTTTATCTTAAGAAATGCTTGATAACTATCTGGATATTATAAATATTTTGCATGTGAAATTTCAAAATTTTCTGATGCATAAAAATATTTTTAATCTTAAAATGAATATTACTTTTCATGATAGATAGGCAACATGCGAAAAGAAAAAAATAGACATGAGAAAAACATTGCTTTACAAACCTTAAGACTTAATAAAAGTATTGTAATGTTTACAGATAATATGTCAAATTTTGTTAACATTTGCCTACTAATTTAAAAGTTATAGCATGAAACTATAACAAGCCCATGCTGAATGAGTTTCTAGAAAAAAAATCTGACTTAAGACAAGTTGATGTTCAAGAATATGGTTATTTGTTGATATTCAACTGCCAAGCTTCTTTCTAATTGACAAAATAAGTATGAGGAGTAGTATATTCATGTAAATTATTCGTTTGTAAATATTCTTTTAAGAATTAAAATTTTTATGCTTAACAAAATATATGTAATTTTAAAAGTTCTTTAAGCAATGAAACATCGTTGTTATAGTAGTATGATGTGGACTTTCATAAAAACTAAGGCTTTGATTGAGCAGAGGTCTATATACTCTTTAGTCTCTAAATAAGTTCACTCTTTGTAAATTCACCAGTACTTAAAGTGCATAATTTGAAGTATTATTAACTGGAAAAGAGATGCTGTTACATCTTTAGAGAATTTCTTAGAAAAAAAAACATTATCAGTTGAATGAAAAAAGTAGCTGCAGTAGTTTTCTTTCAATATAATATGTCACAATAATAATAATAATAATGTGTTACTGTTTTGTAGAGTGGTTGTATGTAACAGACTGGAAACTAGATGCTGTCTTGAAGATGAACAAAGATACAGGGGCAGATAAGGAAATCATGGTTACCGCTGAGGAAGGAAATCACTTTTATGGAATTAAAATTTTTAGTGCCAAAAACCAAAAAATAAATCGTAAGGAGAAATACACAAACCACTTTTTTATTGGAGTTTACTGAGGTTGAGTATGTTATATTAAAACTATTTAAGAGCTACAGAATTTTGTTAAAGTCAGTGTTGTCATGTTGAATCATACTGTATCTGATGACTGTGCATTTGGACAATAGCACTGCATCATAATTTCCAATGTAAAAGGCTTGGAATATTGTTTCATATCCAAAGTACACCACCCCTACCTACATACCATACACAATCCAGTGTCCAAATATGAGTGTTTCCTAGCTACAGTTCAACAGCTTTATTGAATAGAAATCCATAAGCACTGGGTTCAGTGACTTGACATGTATTTTTTCACACAGAATAGCATAAATACCCCTTTCATTCTACATCTGCATGATGTATGTGACTATTGAATGGTAGGTGTAGCTGGATGCTTTACCTTGCTGATCTCGTACTCTTCTGGTCTCAATTTCAGATGGAGATCTTTCTTGATTATGTTGCATACTGTTGCTTTGGGCACATGTATGGCTTTTCCCACTTCTTTTGTTCTCATGAATTCTTACCTTTTTAGAAAAAACTACCTCCTACCATGAGGTGTATGACTTGTTGCAGGTCTTTTTCTAGGTGGTCCTGGAACCCAAGTTGATCCATTGCAAATAAGTACAAAGGATATCATTGTCTTGGGAATTCTATATCCTCGATCTGAACACATCTTTATGATTTAAGTGTATGAACATTCTGCATCAGAAAGGGCTGTTACAAAAAGTGATAAATTTTCATTAGCATCACACTGCCTATGGAATATTAAACAGTGTCATAATGTAGTTCAGGTACATGCTGTTCCTCAATGACTGTATTAGCTGTGGTTGACACATGACTTGTATATTTGTATGTTCAAAATATTTTTAATATAACATCCTCACCCTTCAGTATATTGTGCAGCCATTATGAACACATAATAATGTTGAAATAATATTTGGAGTTAAACAAAAAAAGTCTTGAAAGGATGTGTTATGTTTTGCAGACATGCATGTCTCTTGGTAAGGTTTTCTGAAAGTTCTAGTATATTAATGATATAATGATATGTTATAATCCACTTTAATCACTCTACTATGTACTTCATAACTATACCATTCAAAGTTAATAAGTTTAAAATAAAATTGTATGTTGTCATCACATTCATGAGGCATCCAATTTATATATATATTCATATTATAAAACATTTATAGATTTTCATATTTTCCTTTATCAAGCATTTGTTTTTGTACGTTTTGTAATTTTCAGTAAAACAAGGATTGACTGAATTAATATTCAACACTTGAAACTTATGTTAAAGTAAAGAAATAATGACTGCTTTATCTGAATTTTCTTGTAGTTAAAGAATATAAAGTATGTACTAAGGGCATATATGATCATGAAATATATTTATTAATACTTTGTGTTTGCTGTTAAACGTTTGTGATTTTGATTTGTAAAAAAACATGTCATTTGCTTTCTAATACTTGAAAGAGTTATGAATAAAACCTAAAAAATATAGTGTTAAGCTCAGTAAAACCTGAAAATATAGTCTTAAGCTACCAGAGTGCTTAAGAAAGCCTTAAAATACTATTAACTAAGTAATAACATTTTTTATAACCCTGATGCAAGTGTGTCAAAAACCCCAAAAAATACAGGCTTAGGTTTAGGAAAGCTTAAAAATATCACCTAATTAATAACATTTTCTATAAGCCTGATGCAACTGTGTAACAAACCTAAATAAATATAATCTTAGGCTTAGGGAAGCCTGAAAAAAGCACCTAATTAATAACTTTTTCTATAACCCTGTTGCAACTGTGTAAAATGTACTATGAAATAGAGGGTTAATTTTTCTCTTTTGCTGTCAGTAGGTGGTCCATTGCTAAAATAGTAAACAGTAAATAATGCAGTAGTGTTAACCTGATTCTGTATTTCAGTAAAAAAAAAACAATATTTTATAATTGTTTGATTGTTATCCATACTTTATAATCACCATTAATATTGTTGTTGCATTCAGTTTAAAATGTATATATAGTTGTATAATATACACACGCACACACACATCAATGAAGTTGTAATACAAAATTTATTGCATTCTTTTTGTTATCCATACTGAGTTAATATAAGTGTTGTGTTTCTAATTGTACTGTTTCTTTAAATCTTAATTCATCAGAGTAGTTTAAATAATGTGTCATTGTTTTTAGCACATCATCCATGCCATGTAAACAATGGTAATTGTGAGAAGTTTTGTTTTGCTATACCGGTGAATAACCGTAGAGGTCAGAACCTTCACGTTCATTGTGGTTGTCCTTTTGGAGAAAAACTTGGTGACAATAAGATAAACTGTGTATCTGACCCAAACACTGAGCCACCTGTGAATGCTTGCCCTAACTCATGGGACTTCACTTGTGATAACAATCATTGTATTCCTAGTACATGGGTTTGTGATGGTGATGATGACTGCTTGGATAATTCTGATGAAAACCAGAACTGCACCAGTAAGTTTGATCAAAATTATTTTTTATCTTTGAGTATTTAAGGTTTGTGTTTATTTATAAATGATTAAAGAAAAATGTCTGTCAAAAACATTGGTTTGTGCTCATAATGAAAATATATCTTACAGAATTGAGGAAAACAAAGACAGTTTTATGTTTCACAAATATCTTGTTTACTACAACCATGGTTTTGTCAATAAAGGCACCATCAGGTGCAGACTGAATTAGCCGTACCTGAGGATGCCATTACTGGCAAAATGTGGTAATAAATGAGATATTCCTGAGACATACAGTTGTCTTTGTTTTCCTCAATTATATAATTATAGTGTTTCACCAAGAACCAAATGTTTCCAGCATTAATTGTATAAAATCCATTTTATCTTTTGAATTTGTTAAACATAGTAGTGTTGTGTTGAAATTGTAAATGATGTTTAAATATTCATAGAAAAACCATATTAGGCTGTATTTGTACTGGGCAGAATGTTGCCTGCTGATTGGTATGCAAAACTGGATCTGAGGTTTTATAGTCTGTGTTATGTTACCTCTCACCCCCCCCCCCTCTCCAAAAAGAAAAATATATATATATATATTTGTCCTGCTCTTTGGGGATGTGGGTACATTGTAAAAGTGATGGTCAAGTCCCACTATTGGTCTGATAAGAGTATCCCAAGACTTTGCATTGGATGATGTTGACTAGATAACTTCCTTCTAGTATATCACTTCAAAATTAGAGATGGCTAGTGTTGATAACTCTTGTGTAGCTTTGCATGAAATAAAAAACAACAACAACAAAGAATTAATTAGTACTAGATCAGTTACATGTAGATTTGAACTGTTTAGGTCTGTCATCATTAAAACTGTGATGATCTTTGGAATATAAAATGTATTTAAAATGTTTGCCATATTTTTATGTTGGTTACATTAACTTTACTAAGTTTATAACGTTTTTAATAATTAAAAAAATATATAATTATATCACATGAAAAGTGCTTTACCCAGAAGATGAAATACAGTGAGAATAAAAGCTAAAGTTATCAGGGAAGGACAAAGATACATAAAGGCCTTTAGTTATGCTTTTTTTTAAAAAAAAACAGAATTGACCTGTAGCGCAGGAAGATTTCAATGCAGTAGTGGACGATGCATTCCATTATCTTTCAAGTGTGATTCTGAAAATGACTGTGGTGATTACTCAGACGAGGCTGACTGTGGTAACTTTTATTTTGGCCTTTTTGTTTTTAATCACATTAAATCTTGGTAATTTAAAGCATTTTGTGGGATTTTTAAAACGTGCAAGTTTGGATTTGTAGATACATTTTAAGGCAATAAGAGAAATGAAAAATAAAATATGTTTTGGTTATATGAAAATGTATCAATCAATAAAAACTATATTGTGAACATATAATAAAGAATTTCTATGGATCTTCCAGTCTGTAAGAAACTTAATAGTAGTAAATTACAACAATGTATTGAGTAAGAATGGGAATACTGTGAAGTACGTCTACTTATACATTCTGAACATTAAGAATATTTGAGTTATGCTCTACAAAAACTAAATTATTCATGCGTGTATAGGAATTCTGAAAATATAAATATGAAATTCTGAAACGGATAACAATGTTACTAAACTTTGAATTTAAATTCCATTATTGAAGTGAAAATAATGTACTTTGACCAATTTTGTTCAAATGTATACTTATTCATAATGGTGCAGTTTTTACAATTCCAACAAGAAAACACAGTTGAGACAAGAGTGATTTATGGAGTAACATGTATTAATGGTTTGGGTATATCTCTTCATTTTTTAGCCAATGTCACTTGTGAAGCTACTGAGTTTTCCTGTGGTAACGGTCAGTGTGTTCCTCAGTCCTGGAAGTGCGACTCTCAGAATGATTGTGATGATGGCTCTGATGAAGGAGACTTTTGTGGTAAGTGATTTGTATAAAGCACAGCTGTAACTATCCTATCTTTGTTATGCTTTGTTTTGAATGTTGTTAAAAAATAATGTTATTTGACATAATTTTTATAACAACTTATTAAGTGTACTTAAAATCTCATAATGTTTAAATAAGCCACTCTGATTTATAACTAGTGTAAGTAGTGTTATTTCGTTCAGTTAATAAAAAATATAAACTCACTTCAATACATGAAAATTAAACTGTTGGTAAAGCCATTGAAGAATTTTGTATCGAGACATGTTACTTGTACTAGTTCAAAAGTAAAGAACCTCTGCTTATCGTAAAGACATCAATAGGGAGATTTATTGGTAAGCCATTTTTCTACATCATCTCATCTTTCCAGTTCATTTCATTCCAGACTTTTATATTTATATTGTTGTTGTTTTTTTGATAACTTGTACAGTCAAGAGGACCTGTGCATATTACCAGTTTACTTGTCCAGCATCAGGACACTGTGTTCCACAAAGCTGGGTTTGTGATGGAGACAATGACTGTTTTGATGGAGCAGATGAGCAGGGCTGCACACCTATTACTTGTCCATCAAGTCAGTTTCAATGTGGTGATCATAAACAGTGTATTCATAATAGTTATCGTTGTGATGGTGTTTCTGATTGTCAGGATGGATCAGATGAACTAGGATGTCGTGAGTAGTGTAATACCTTCATTGCTGTTTTCTGATGTAACTTCTTCTTCTTCTTCCGTGTTTGTTTTATAAGTAAAACTAAATTGTTTAGAGAATATGCTTTTGCCATTTCAAAGTATTATACATGTTCAAAAGTATTTTAGGTTGCTGTATATACACATTTATTGTTTGATAATAAGTTATACATATTTATTTTAATTTGATAGGACCTAACAATGGTTATTTTTCCAGAGAAATCTTTACAGATTAAATTACATTTTTTATGAAATGCATCTGCCTGGAAAATATTTTGGTTTCTTTTCCTAGGCCTCTATATCCTCCAGGCAAGTGCAGTTTTTATAAGACTTGTAGGTTTTATGAAATTCTCTTGTAGTGTACTTAACTTGTGAAAATCACTGTTTTATTGCACCATGTGCAGCATCTACAGCAACAAATGATTGTGACCCAGAGAAGTCATTTCAGTGCAAAACTTCTAGAATTTGTATCCCAAAGCTCTGGCACTGTGATGGCAGTAGTGACTGTGAGGATGGGAGTGATGAGCCTGATAATTGTGGTGAGTTTTAAATGTATTGTTAGAGTTTGCAAACAGACCTATGCTTTGAAACTTCTCATAAAAAAATAGAACTTTGTTAGTTTCACGAGGCTTTTGTTTATTTGCAATTTCCTTTTTTCCTGAGATTGTTTAAATACCTTAAATACATTATAGCTGAAGTTTATGTATTTCTTTGACAGCGGTTTTATTTTCGGTACAGACGGAATGTTACACAAGAATGTAGAAGAGAAAAAACAAAACAAGTTTGATGAACGCAACTAAGTGCTATTCAAATTCGATGACGAAGAACCCACTTTGAGACTAATAATGGTTGGAGATGGC